GGGTGGCCAGCACCACGCCCGGTACCAATTTGAGGCTGAGTCGACCTCGGCGAGGCCCAGGATCGGTTCAGATAACCGTAACTGGTGTTGGTCGTCGCCGGGTTTCATAGCGCAGCGCGCTAATCGCTACACTACCGCTCCCACAAAGCCTTAACAGACTGTAGGGGCAAGTGCTGTTAGCGAGCACCTATGAAGGCCGGAACGGTACACGAGGGGGTGGGTGGCCAGCACCACGCCCGACCGCCTTTGTCTCCCTAGTGGCAATGTTTACACTGTACCAGGTACTCATTTGAGGCTGAGTCGACCTAGGGGAGGCCCGGGACCGGTTAAGATAATCGTCACTGGTGTTGGCCGTCAGCGGGAATCGAACCCGTGTCGCCAGGTTCGTAGCGCAGCGCGCTAACCTCTACACTACCGCTCCCACACACACACGCACACACACCGTGTCACACACACACACACCGTGTCACACACACACACCGTGTCACACACACACACACCGTGTCACACACACGCACACCGTGTCACACACACACCGTGTCACACACACACACACACCGTGTCACACACACACCGAGTCACACACACACACCGTGTCTCACACACACACACCGTGTCACACACACGCACACCGTGTCACACACACGCACACCGTGTCACACACACACACACACCGTGTCACACACACACACACCGTGTCACACACACACACACCGTGCCACACACACACACACCGTGTCACATACACACACACCGTGCCACACACAGGCACACCGTGTCACACACACACCGTGTCACACACACACCGTGTCACACACACGCACACCGTGTCACACACACACCGTGTCACACACACACCGTGTCACACACACGCACTCCGGTCTCGGCGCTTTAGCCACCCGTCTCGGCTGCCCTCCCCTGGGAAATTAAACCCCACATCAGGCGCACCGCGAGAGGTGAAGGACAACACAGCAATTACAACGCACGCGGCCGCATTGAGACAACGGGGGGGGGGGGGGGCCGAGAGACGACGTTTAGGGGTCTATGCGGACCCGCTGTGCTTATCTACTGCGGGGAGACGCTAGCCTTGCTCCCCGGAGTGCTTACTCGAGAACAGCACTGTGCGCCTAAGGCTTACTCCATTTTCAGTAAATAGACTCATTCATTTATAGAAGCACCCCCCGCCCGCCCGCCCGCCCGCCCGCTCCCCCACCAAAACGAACTGTCAAAAGATCGGTAAATATCGATGCGTTCCAGCGATCGGGAATCGATGCGAAAACGGCGGTGGGTTAACAGCATTTATGCATCGGCCAAAACAATGATTGCTCGAGTTGAACACCGGACGTCAACTCAAGTGACGGCATCGCTTTGCGCGGCTCGGCTGCTATCGCTTCCCTCCGCTCATACCCTACCCCGCCACCCCCCCCCCCCCCAGCACGCGCGGCGAAACGTCGGACGATCGTGCCGAGGTCGATTGCGACGCGCGGCTACAACCCTCCGGCGGACGCACGTCGTGAGAGCCGTAAAAGTTGAATCCAAAGTGTCGGCAAGCGAAGAGCGCAGCGCGAGTTTCACAACGGGGGCCGTGTGCCATCCACGATAAGCGGTGCGATGGCCATCCTGATGATTTCCCGCTGATAAAAAGAATACTAAAGTAAACGAAGAGCGCTTTCATAACGGCCAAGATACATTCCCGTTGGATGTAAATGCGCGCACGTGCGCGACTGCGTCTGAACCGCGCAATAAGCGCGGCTACGTTGAGAGGCAATTGCGCGACATTGTCTGTGGCTCATGAACTGCGCACGTGGCCGCGTGTTCTCGCCTACAAATAACATTTGGACAGGACGTGCGTTACAGAGACGGCCGCTTAATTTGCGACTGCGCGGTTGTTAGGAAATGTACGCCGTGGATCAACAGGCTACTTGTTTGTGGACAAGTTGCTGCTATCCCCGTCGCGCGATTTGGGAAGTCACCACTCGACCTGCGATTTTTGGGTGTGTGTGTGTGCGCGTGTGTGTCTGTGTGCGCGTGTGCGCGCGTGTGTGCGTGTGTGTCTGTGTGCGCGTGTGTGTCTGTGTGCGTGTGTCTGTGTGCGTGTGTGTGTGCGCGTGTATTGTGGCGTTTCGCCATTGCCGGCGGCGCAATCGTTTATAACGTCGCGTTTGTTCGGCTATCGCTCCAAATGATACGTGGCATTTGTTCACTGCGCCGCCTCTTAATGCACAGCAGCGGTTAAAAGCATCGTACCCGATGTGCCATACGGCGCACACATGTGTGGTGCTGTAAACACACACACACACGTGGGGTTAAGACGTTGTTATAGCATGAGCTCCTCGCACGTGTTCAACTATACCTCATCGTCATCATCAGCCACGGTCAATCCAATGCTGAGTGAAGGCTTCCCCCGAATCCACGATTTAATAATCCACCTGGCACCCGCACACGAAAATTATCGGTGGATGTCCTTTGGGACGCGTTTAATTCGTATGTATGTACAACGTGCATGCTGAACTTCGTTCGTACCGTACGTAGCCAACCGTGCTAATCGGAGGCGTTGTCTTTACAACAACACAATGGCCTGTAACGTAGAGATGGGCTGAGTTTCCTGGCTATTCGTCTGAAAATGCGCACTTTGCCCTTTTCGTGACAGATAAACCGAGATAAAAGCCCATTTGCGGCGCGTCTTGTGCAACTTTGCTCACATTCGATCAATACAAATGTTGCCTCCAAGCTCTGCTGGTTTTCGCCAAGCCGAAAACATTGCAAATAATACGAATACTAATGCCGATTATTTTACGCAGAAAATCCTCAACCGAAACCAAAAAATCGACACTTTCAGTAGGGTTCCGGCTACGTGGAGATGCGTGGTCAGTTCCATTCACGAGAATTTGACTTCGTGTGCGAGGAAGCCAGAAACAAAAACATTGATCCAGAGAAAACCCATCGCGCTGTATCTAGGAAGGTGACACCCAGCGCTGCCATCTCCTGGCCACCTCGAAGCTCCAACCAATAGCAGTTTGTGGCCACCCCATCTCAGCTCAACGCTGTTGGAGCATTCGAGATCCGACAAGAGCTTTTGCGCATTTGTGGCGATTAATGTCGATCTGCCGTGCCCCGAGCGCGTCCGCGTATGTATGTTGAACTTCGTTCGCGCCGTACGTAGCCAACGGTGCTAACCGGAGGCACGTGTGTGAGTGGGTGCGTGTGTGAGTGGGTGGGTGTGGGTGCGTGTGTGAGTGGGTGCCTGTGTGCGTGGACTAGTAGGTGAGTGTGAGAGTAGGTGCGTGTGCGAGTGGGTGAGTGTGTGCGTGGACTAGTGAGAGTGGGTGCATGTGCGAGTGGGTGAGTGTGTGCGTGCACTAGTGGGTGAGTGTGTGAGTGGGTGCGTGTGTGAGTGGGTGAGTGTGTGCGTGGACTAGTGGGTGAGTGTGAGAGTGGGTGCATGTGCGAGTGAGTGAGTGTGTGCGTGGACTAGTGAGAGTGGGTGCATGTGTGAGTGGGTGAGTGTGTGCGTGGACTAGTGGGTGAGTGTGAGAGTGGGTGCGTGTGCGAGTGGGTGAGTGTGTGCGTGGACTAGTAGGTGAGTGTGAGAGTGGGTGCGTGTGCGAGTGGGTGAGTGTGTGCGTGGACTAGTAGGTGAGTGTGAGAGTGGGTGCGTGTGCGAGTGGGTGAGTGTGGGTGCGTGAGTGAGTGGGTGAGTGTGTGCGTGGACTAGTAGGTGAGTGTGAGAGTGGGTGCGTGTGCGAGTGGGTGAGTGTGGGTGCGTGAGTGAGTGGGTGAGTGTGTGCGTGGACTAGTAGGTGAGTGTGAGAGTGGGTGCGTGTGTGAGTGGGTGAGTGTGTGCGTGGACTAGTGGGTGAGTGTGAGAGTGGGTGCGTGTGCGAGTGGGGGAGTGTGTGAGTGGGTGAGTGTGTGTGTGTGTGGGTCAGTGTGTGAGTGGGTGCGTGTGCGAGTGTGTGAGTGTGTGCGTGGACTAGTGGGTGAGTGTGAGAGTGGGTGCGTGTGTGAGTGGGTGGGTGTGGGTGCGTGTGCGAGTGGGTGAGTGTGTGCGTGGACTAGTGGGTGAGTGTGAGAGTGGGTGCGTGTGTGAATGGGTGAGTGTGTGCGTGGACTAGTGAGAGTGGGTCCATGTGCGAGTGGGTGAGTGTGTGCGTGGACTAGTGAGAGTGGGTGCGTGTGTGAGTGGGTGAGTGTGTGCGTGGACTAGTGGGTGAGTGTGAGAGTGGGTGCCTGTGTGAGTGGGTGGGTGTGGGTGCGTGTGTGAGTGGGTGAGTGTGTGCGTGGACTAGTAGGTGAGTGTGAGAGTGGGTGCGTGTGTGAGTGGGTGGATGTGGGTTCGTGTGTGAGTGGGTGAGTGTGTGCGTGGACTAGTGGGTGAGTGTGAGAGTGGGTGCATGTGCGAGTGGGTGAGTGTGTGCGTGCACTAGTGGGTGAGTGTGAGAGTGGGTGCGTGTGCGAGTGGGTGAGTGTGTGCGTGGACTAGTAGGTGAGTGTGAGAGTGGGTGCGTGTGTGAGTGGGTGCGTGAGTGGTGAGTGTGTGCGTGTGCGAGTGGGTGCGTGTGCGAGTGGGTGAGTGTGTGCGTGGATTAGTGGGTTCGTCTGGGAGTGGGTGCGTGAGTGGGAGAAGTGGGTTCGTGTGTGCGAGTGCGTGCAAGTGGATAAGTAGGTAAGTCAGTGAGTGAGTTCGTGTGAGTGACCGCGTGTGCTTAGTGAGCGCGTGGGTAAGTAGGCATGTCGATGAGTGGGCGAGTGCGTGCATGTATATATGCACGTATAAGTGCGTACGTGGGTGAGTGGATGATAAGTGGGTGCGCATGTGTGTGAGAGTGCATGTGTTAGTGGGCTCCTGAGTGTGTATAGGTACATGGGAGAGTAAGTACGCATGTGTGTGAGAGTGCATGTGTTAGTGGGCTACTGGGTGTGTGTGTGTGTATGGGCACACGAGAGAGTAAGTGCGTGAGATAGAACGCGCCGCTACAAAACTTGAAAAGCGACCCCACCTTAGCTGTGTTCCCGGCAGCGACATGTGATCACCTCGGTCACCTCGCTGATAACGAGTTCAGGGTGGTTCTACCTGGACGTTGTGGTGGTGGAAGCAGCAGCAGCAGCAGCGACAACTGCAGCAGGATCGGCAGCAGGCTGTAGTAATAGTCCGATATGATTCGTTTGAAATTTCAATACACTCGTCAAGTAAATCGTAGAGCAGCCGTAGAACACAAACACTTAAAAAAAACCCCTAAAACTCGCTCGAGCAACAGCAACAAAAACTTCAGTCCCAGGTGGGCTTCATCGCAGTTGGTGTCTCGACGTCGATTCTGCTCGCGCGCGCGCGCGCACGCACGCGGTGGGCACAGTCGCGGAGCGAGTCGAGCAGCAGCGCACGCGGCTCTGGGCGATGATGATGATGGGGAGTGCGCTCTGGTCTCTCCCGCGACGGGGCGTGTGTGCGTGTGAGCCCCCCTCCAGGGCTGCCCGGACCCGCACGGAAGAGTTCCATCTATTCAGTGCGTCACAGCCAATCAGATTGGCGTGGGCGAGTCGAGGGAGCGATACGGAGGGGGAAAGGGTGGGTGGGTGGCTGCTGCTTTTTTTGCTAGTGGTGGCGATGTTGGATTAATGACGGGTGGTGTAAGGTGGAGGGGAGGGGGGGCTGTGTCCAGTTATGATAGCAAGGAGGCGGTGCCTTGCTGTGAGAGCACGCGGTCCTCCAGGGTTAATTGCGGCTTGCCAGCCACGCGGGGGAGTTCTGGCTCGGTGTGCATATTTGTTTAGGAAAATAGTGGGAACCGGGGATAATGTGTTTTTTACACGTTATAATCGTCGTCAGTCATGGCCAATCCACTGCTGGATGAAGTCCTCGCCAAGCCGCCGCCGTCACCTCTCACGATCCTCCGACGCACCAATCCACCGAGTTGATTTCACGGCATCTATCCGCACCGGTGGACGATCTCTCGACCGCGTCGCTGCCACTCTGTCGTCATTCTAGACCATCGTCCATCATCTGTTCGAGCGACGTGTCCTTCTCGACGCCCAGGCTCGCTTACTTTCTGAAGAGTTTGTATGTTATCTCATCCACATATTCCTCTTTCGGTCTCTCAGTGGGAATCCAAGCGTACGCGCCATCGTCTGTTTCGTATTGCGTGCTTTTTTTGCGTTCACGCGTGTGCGCATTTACGATTTCGTATTCGGAGAAAAGAAAATGCTGGCATTTCCTTTCCTACCTTCATCAAAAAAATGAACGAATATAAAAACGACAATTTCTGAGCACGGGATATCGACGACGAATGACTGCTGAATATCGTAGTATAATTCACGTGCACTTTAAAAAACGTATCCGTTTTAATTAAATATTTTACCAGGGTCTAAAACTCAACGGCGCGTGCCTGCGTAAAACGCAGTTCCTTATCGACACGGGGAACGCGATTTCACACAATCCACTCTTCCCCGACGCTCCATCTCTTACGGCCCTCACCAACCCGCATGGACGAGCGTGGTGAGGTATGGCCATCACCCTCCCCCGCCCCGCACGCCGTACGGGAGGCCCTCATCCAGCAGTGGATTGCCCACAGAAGGACTTTGCATGTCTATGTTTGTACCCCCCCCCCCCCCACGTCACGCCGCGCTCAAAACAAACTGCGTCCATCACGAACACTCTTCTCGTGTGATAAGGCGCGGCGATGTTTGCGTGCCACGGGTTGTTGTTTGTTATAAAACCGAAGATCGATGTCTACCGAAAGTTCGGAATCTTCGTCGTATTTTATTTCAGTTTAATCCGCATTCCCTCAAAGCGGCCACGACGCCGTGTCGCTATTTAATCACTTAATTCATTTTCTTGGGGACATGGGGATCGAGAAACGATACAAAAGCGTCGACACACTTGATCGGTGACACCCGTGACTGAGCGCTTGGCTGTGGGAGTGCGAGGTCACGTTGGCGATGCGCTGTAGTCACATTTCCTCTAAGCGGGGTCCTCTTACAATCGCCTTGCCTTTTGTATCCATACACGCGGACGTGTACGGCCCTACTGTCAATCCACTGCTGGATGAGGGTCCGCTGTGTTAACGATTATCCAGTGCGTAGTGTGTGAAGGCGAGGAGCAATATACAGAGGGGGGGGGGGGCATAGGGGTACAGTACAACAGTGGATATTCTTGAACTTCCTTCTGCTGTCTACAACGTAGCATCGCTGCAAACTATAATCACCGGTTTCACGCACAGCGCTCGCGCCCATCCAGACATTATCCAGGCTCACCCCTGCTTAGCCTCCGAGATATAACGAGATCAGCCACATTCCAGGCGATGTAGCCATCGGCCCGTGTTGGCTGGGGACCGGGGAGGCAGGGGGGAGGGGCTTGATGTGTGGATGTTGATGTTGCCGTGAACAATACAACTGGACGGAGAGCGCAACCATCCCACAGGCTCCCTACCGAAGTGTCCGACGCGGCGTAAGGCATCGGGGCAAAGCGCTCGTTAGTGGGACGGCTTAGTCCTCGAGTGACGAGCTGACCAGCTCGTTATGGTTATGGGTAGGGTTAAGCGTTCGGTCGGGTGGTGTGTTCCGCCCACACACAGCCTGCTGCTGCTTCTTATTCTTCACACTGCACGCACGGATGGCCATATCAGTTTGGATCGCTTTTAGTTTTACAGTGAGATTAACATCGCCGCGTCTGCCGTGGTCTGAGATTCCACTTCACCCATTCTCCACAACAGCAGATCGGGCCTCGGCAACACTTACGAACCAATTTGTCATCAGTGACCCCGACATCCGTCAACCAGGCTTCGATCTGCGCCGTGCGCTGGATCCACTGAGCCGTATTTACACCGGACAAGGGCCACACAGAGCCACGGGGGGAGACACACGGAGACACGGAGACACAGAGACACTGGGATACGGTGGCACGGGTATACAGAGGCACGGTGACACTGGGACACAAAGACATGGGCACACTGGGACACGGGGACACGGGGACATGGAGACACGGACACATTTGGACACGGGGACACAAAGACATGGGCACACTGGGACACGGGGACACGGGGACACGGGGACACGGGGACATGGGCACACTGGGACACGGGGACACGGGGACACGAAGATACAGAGACACTGGGACACAGATACACGGGGATACTAGGACACGTGGATGCAGAGACACGGGCACATTCGGACACTGGGACACAGATACACGGGGATGATACTGGGACGCAGGGCCACGGGCACACTGGGACAAGGCAAACATGCTTGGTGACACCGATTAAGAAACACTGGGACACAAAGATACAGAAACTCTGGGAGACGGTGGAACGGGAATACGGAGCCGCGAATAGGCTCTATTGAACCGTGTTCGCATTGAACGCAGACATGGGTTATTAAGTGGCTAACGAGGCCAGAATGGGGGCATCCAGGATAGCCCAAAGTGTAAAGAACGGACAGGTGCAGACTTTGACGGATAGACTCGTGTGGAGATGGAGGAGGATGAAGGTTGCCCTTCGACCAGATTGGGTGGAGGACCGAGGGTACTTGACACTGCAGACGATGATGGCGTGACCTCACTCGGCCAAGGCGCACCTCCAATTAGAACGGTTGGCTACGTATGGTGCGAAAGAAGTTCAACATACTACATTCGCACAAGCAATGCACTTCACACTGCCACTGAAACCCCAATGATCACTTTGCAGCTTCATGCAGTGATCATGCTTGTTGCATGCTTAACTACCTCGCCTGGTACAGGAGGTCATGGGTTCGATGCCGAGCCGGTCGCCTGCGGTATATTTTGAGTTTGCGTGTCTCTCCCGGTGCTCGCGTGGATTTTTCTCCGGGTCCTCCGGTTTTTCCGTCCACATTTAGAATGAACATGCGTATAGAGTATTTGGCTGCTATAAATTACCACGTGATAAGCCCCTTTATTGAGCTATCAATTGTGGCCAGGTCGCTTCTGAAAATGAGCTGTATCGCTCAGTGAGTCTTACCTACTAAAATAAAAAAAATGTTTAAATAGTTTTTTTATATATATATACATTACTCTCCTTTTTATAGATACATAACTTGCCTTGTAAAGACGTAAGACGCAGGGGTCGGTCTAACGTGCAGTGCTGAAATGCAGTTGGCTCCTGAAAGTGAATCTTAAGGCCCATTGTGACTGGGTACATTTTATACATTTTGTTGAACTTTTGCCAGTCCACTGCTGGGACACCCCAGGACCTCCTCTCCACGCCGTGCGGATCGTGGGGGGTTATGTGGCCATACTTCGCCACGCGGGTCGGTGAGGGCCGGGGACATAGACCTGGTTGCACGCTAGTATAGTACAGTACAACAGGGTTTTTTGTTTGTTTGCTGAACTGCCTTCTGCCTGCCCACGATGTGACTGGACATCTGGGAAAAAAGAGTTTCGTCGCTTATCGGAATCTTCAAGTAGACACAAATATTCGGACTCTGAACTCCACAGCAGCCCTAAAAAAAAACCCCTGGTGGTCGTCCACCCCAAGCACGAAGCAGGCTCGAACCTGCTTATGTTGCGAGATCTGACAAAAGCGGGTGTATCTTTGGTGATTTCGCCACAGGCTACGCACGCAATTCTTTTTTTCTTCTGAAAAATAAGCTAATAATAGCTCAGTGGACTTTACATGGTAAAATAAAACATTGTTGATTTGTAGTGCTTTGATTATCTTTCCTATACTTTGCACCTCCTATCGTATTGTTTGTTGTTGTAACTTTCTGGCCCGCCCCTACTGGACATCTGTGAAAAAAGAGCTTCATAGCTTCATCGGATTCCTCCAGTATAACGATTCTGATTCTGCAATATCTGGCCAAAATCGTCTTGCAAATGAGCGACGGCTAATTTACACGCAGGCCGTAATTACATGAACTCGGCCAGGTTAACACAACGCGCCATAACATCCACGTATCCGGCAACAGCAACGCGTAATTAGTAAGCGTGATAACGGCATTACAGAAATGTAATTCCCGTTTGCGGAGCTAAAACGGAAATGATAAAAAAGGTGTTTACGAGCGATAAGCTCGCGGCCTCGCGCGTGTGCAGTGCTGCAACACGTGTCAGTGTAAACGTCAACTTTAATCTTGGAGCATTAGTGCTATAGAATGTGAATTTGCTGCAGCCATGTCAATGTAATGAGGTCCTACACCGAGATGAGCAATGTGGAGCAGTGGCAAGACGTTAACTACCCCCGCCTGGTATGCAGGAGGTCGTGGATTCGATGCCCACCCTGACGCCTGTTGTATATTTGGAGTTTGCGTGTCTCTCTTCCCGTGCTCGCGTGAATTTTTCTCCGGGTGGTCTGGGTTCCCCCCCCCACCCCCGCCAACATTCAGAAACATGCGTTTAGAGTATTTGGCTGATAGAAATGTCCACGTGATAAGCCACTTCATTGGGCTCTCACCAATGGACAGGTCGCTTCTGCAAAATAGCTCAGTAGGTCTTACCTGTGTAACAATAAAAAGATCGATACGAGTTGAGTTGTTAGTTTTATAGT